GGTTGGTATTATTACCATTCCTATAAGACTGATGATTGAATTCAGGTTTAGAAGGTTTAAATATCTAACCCAGGAGCACTCGGTTCCTATGCTGTGTCAGAAAAATGAATTTCTGACTCCCAGTTCAGTGTTTTCCACCATGTCCACATATCTACTAGGAAGGACTTTCACACTCTGGTCCATACTTTTATGCTTTCGCTTTTTATATATTGCACTGTACATGTAAGGTGAACAGTAAATACTTATATAGAATTAAGTCCAAAGTGTATTAAAATTTGCATGATTCAGCCTTTCATTTGGTAGCATTGTTCAGAATTTTCACATGAACGTGCATTTTTGAATATATAGAAAACCAGTAAACAATTGACTGCTTATGTGTGAAGAGCAAGGTAACTCGGCAGGAGTTGACTCTCAGACAGATCTGCAGACAGACAGATATGAGTAAGGGCTTGGATGTGTTCTGAAAGCCTGCCTATTAGAGCTGGTTACAGAGGACACTTACAAAGGAAAAGTCTTCAGGGCCCACATAAGGATCAAAATCACTCTTGAAATCATGACAGAAAGATCAACCCCCCTTTTTTTTTAATTTGGAGAAATTTGAAAAAATAACCAGAATATGAAGAGAATAATCTAACAGACATCCATGTGCCCACACCCAGAGATGAAAACTGTCAACATTTTTGGTCATATTAATTTTAATATTTTTTTAAAAAGAAAACTTTCAAAAGCGTTATAAAGTTGAAATCTCTTTTGTCTTCTACTGCCAGTTCAACCCCCTCCCCCACTCCATTCTGGTGGGCACCATCAAGGCTCTGGTTTCCTAGTCACTATTTATATATTTACATGAACACATATGTTTCCGTAAACAATTTATACTATTGTTTTATATGTTTATTATAAAATAAACGTAATGGTGTCATACTGCTTGTATCATTTTACAACTTGCTTTTTTTCAGACATCTCTAGGTTTGGGAGCTGTTGTGTTGAAATAGAAAAATCTAGTCCCTTCTCTTTAGTAACTGTAAAGCATTTTGTTATATGGATAAAATAATTTATTATGCCTCCTCCTACTCTTGTTAATAGGCACTAAGATTGTTATAAACAAACCACAATTGTAGTACTCATGTAAGTTTCTGTTCCTTATACATGCACTCAAGTTCTTCTAAGGTGTCTGCCTAGAAGTGGAATGGCTGGGTGGTACACTAGGTCTATGCTTTCCTGGTGGCTCAGACGGTAAAGAATCTGCTTGCATGCGGGAGATCTGGGTTTGATCCCTGGGTTAGGAAGATCCCCTGGAGGAGGGAACAGCTACCCACTCCAGTATTCTTGCCTGGATAATCTCCATGGACAGAGGAGCCTGATGCGCTACAGGCCATAAGGTTGCAGAGTCGGACATGACTGAGCGACTAAGCACAGCCCAGCATACGAGGTGCATGTTTAATTTTATCACAATTTAACAAATTATTCTCTGAGATGGTTGTACCAATTTACAGTCTCATTGGCAGTACATGTAATTACCTGCTTCTCCATACTCTTCAATGCTGGATACTGACAGACTTAAATTTTTGCTAATCTCCTTGATAAGCAAGGGTGCCTTCTTATTTCTGTTAGCATTTCACAATTTACTAGTATAACCTGCTAGTTTTCATGTTTATTGGCTGTTCGGTTTCCTTCTTTTGTGAAATGCCTGGTCATGTGCTTTGTCAACTCCTATTGAGCTATTTGTGGAATTTTTTGTTAATTTATAAAAGGAATCTATTCTGAATGTAAATCATTTAACTATTATTTGACAATTGCAAATATTTTTCTCTGTAATTATTGTCAAGTTCACGATCACATTTTTTTAAGGACCACATAAGGTCAACATACCTCTGAGGCTCAGTCAGTAAAGACTCTGCCTGCAGTGTAGGAGGCCCAGGTTCGATACCTGGGTTAGGAAGATCCCCTGGAGAAGGAAATGGCAACCCACTCCAGTATTCTTGCCTGGACAATCCCATGGACAGAAGAGCCTAGCGGGCTACAGTCCATGGGATATAAGAGTCAGACACAACTTACTGACTAAACCATCACCACATAAGATCAGTTCCAAAAGGACAAAGGGCTTTATTCTTTTTTAAGCCAATGCAAGATGGCATACACAGTCTCTGAAATTAAGGAAACAGACATAAATAGCTTTAGCAGACCTAAGCAAAACCTTCCTTGCAAAGGTCTTCAAATTTCTTCTCCAGATTGGGAGAGTAGCCTCCTCTTAGCATCTTGTGAGTTAAATGGAGAGAAACACGTTGTATAGATAGGTGAGCAAAATAAGAGAAATGGACTTTCCTTTTATAAACCAGTAGCTGAGCAGCACTGACACTTCTCATAACAGCCTCAAATTAATTTGAGAGTGATTTCTGTAAGTGAAATTTGTCATTGAGTGATTATTGTTTAGGCATCTCAGATTTCAAATTTTAAGTTTGCCTTACTACTTACTACTTACTACTCCTTCCCTCTCTCAGTAAGAGCAGGTTTCAATTATGTAATTATGGTTAAAGAGGTCTGAAGAATTTTTACTCTTATGCCTTCATCTAGATTGGATAATGGTTTGCAATGACTGGTTGAGAGCTGTGGAAACACAAATGTGAGGCAGAAAGCTTAACTCTCTATATAAATATTTACCAACAGAGTAGACTATAAACTCTGCAAGGGGAGGGCCTGTCTTTACCAAATGCATGATGGGTATATCCTCAGCACTGGTTCAGCTGATAATCATACCTAGTGGGCATATGCTGAATATTCCCAATCCACAGCTACTTACTGAACCCCAAGTCTGTGTTAGACACTCTGTATTCTACGTACTTCATGGAACCAAACTGACCAAGACAGACAAAGTGCCCACTCTCATGAAGCTTACATTCAAGGGGCATGGAGAGAAAATGGCAAAGAAGAAAAATGATGCAGTGAAATGAGGCATAGAGCTGTGGGGTAGCGGGGTGGGGTGGGGGTGTTTCTACTGTAGGGAGTGTGGTCTGAGAAGCCTCCTGAGGAGGAATCCTAGAGATCAACATTTACTAGATAGAGATAGTGATGGAGATAGATTGAGATATACAAAACCAGAGTGTTGGGGTTCTAAAACAATTACCTCCAGTGTAGGAGGTAAACTCTGCCCCTGTAGTTTTATTCGGAGCAATTTATATGAATCTTGGAAAAAAAAAACCCACGACTAAAGCGTTGATTTTAGATTAGAAGGAGTTTATGAATCTGTAAAATATGTTTCCTTTTCTTTGCTGGAATAGTTTACACACAGAGAGAGCAGCTGGCTCCTACAGCTTGGTGGGCTTTGGCTGGGCTGTTAATTGCCTAAATATTTTGTATATTTCTGTGTATCTCTCCTGCAGTCCACTTGACCAAGATAAGTCTTTGAGCCCTGTTGAATGTTTGAATCTTTCAGGCAACTAGAAACTATGGGTCAAACTATGACTTTTTTTTTTTTCTAAACAAAAAATTACTGAAAACATTTAAAGTGCAGCACTGAGTTCATGGGTAAAAACTGCCGTTTGCCCAAACAAAACATGCAGATTGATGAAGATTCTCTAGATAGTGATTTAATGCAGACGTCCTTCTTGTTTCATTTATTTTGAAAAATCGATTTCAAGTTCCTAACGTCATCTAGAAGGAGTTCAATACTTCTTGCCCTCTCCCCCTAATGCCTGCCTAGAGAGAGAAAAAAAAAAAATCCAGGCTATTTGGGGGTTTGTTTTGTTTTCTTAAGCTAAGTACTTAAATCACGAATGTTTCACAAGTACCTTTTGATGGGTTTCATTGTTTTGTTTATTTTGCTGTAGTCAGTACAAACACCTTCAAATTTCCTTCTGTAACAAATGTTTTTCAAAGTCATCATCTGACCTCGCTGATGGAGCCGGTCTGCAAACCTTGCAGCCGGGTCGATTTTTGCACGGGCTTCTAACGTCGACACACAAAAGTTTACGGCCTCTTTGAGAGAACAAATGAAAGTGTTCGCTCATCTTTCAAAAAATATTCTGCGCTTGATATGTTCGCCACTCTTCATCGGGTTCTCAGAATGTGAACATCGGTTCACATTGAATGAATACAGAATGTGACATCGGTTTTTCACACACGTAGGTTTTTGTCTTCCATTTCTGGAGAGTTATTTCCTCGTCTGACGTTTTATTTTCTTGATTTATTCATCTTCAACTTGCTACGAAAAACCTCTTCTCTCCTAGCGACTGTTCTCTCCCTTTTAAAAGTAATCTGCATGGAAACCTTGACTTTGCATTTTAGATTTTTAGGGTCCTTTTCTGTTATTCTGCCCCCCCGTTACTCGCTCTGTACACTCACAGCCGAGGCCGCCGGCATCTGAGCTGAAAGCGCCCGTGGCGGGCTAGGAGAGAAGGGTGTCATGTTGGCGACAGGCTCCTGCTGGCGGCCAGCGAGCCCGCCGAGGTTAACGGGGGCGCTGGGGTCAGCGCCCTCGAAGTTGGGGGCCTCGGGCGGAGCCGCACCAGGGCCGCGGCGACCGCTCAGCCGGAGCTTCCGGCAGTCCCGCTGCCTCCACCGGAAAAGAATCGCCTAATCTGTCGCGATCCCACGGAGATCTTGCTCTTCCCTGTGCAGTCTCCGCGAACGAGCGCGTCGCGGGGCCGACGAGAGGAAAAGCCCAGGCCTGGGGCGGAGGAGGAATGAGGGGCCGAGAGCCGGGGGGATTTCCTCCCGCGCTTCCCCCTCCAACGGGAGCGGAAAATGTGATTTGCTGTGCATTCCAAGCGCAGTTCCCTGGGGTGACCTCTCCCAGCCGGTCCGGGCGGGGGGAGCAGACAAAGAGGCGAGGCCGGCAGAGAGAGGGGACCCCGCGGGGAGGAAGGAGGGGTGCGGGGGGCGGGGGCAGTACCGGGAAAGGGGGTGGATAGCGGGTCCCGCGGCGGCGGCGGCGCCTGGCCAATGAAGAGGCGCGGCCCGGGGCGCCGCGCTCCGCCGCCGGCATTTAAACGGGAGACGGCGCGATGCCCCTCACTCGGTGCGCCCTCCGCGGACCGGGCGAGCCAGTGTGCCGCAAGAGCGGTGCTCTCTGTCCCGCTGACCCCACGCGGAGCCCGCGCGGCTCTGGCCGCGGCCGCACACCGCGCCACGCGTCGAGAGCGCAGGCCCCGAAGGTCCGCCACATTGACAGGTGAGCGAGGAGACGCAGGCGTGCGTGTGCGTGTGTGTGTAGGGGTCGGGAAACGACTCCTGCGTCCCCCTCGGGGCGCGACAGCCCTTCCTGCGCGCAGGCCGAAGCCCCGCGTTCCCTGGGTGAACCCCAAAGAACCATCGCGGGGTCCTTCGTGGCCAAGGTCTTGGCTGCCTTGACCTCACCTTGTGCAGTGTGCGGGGCATGACTGGGAAGGAGGATGTTAAGAGCAGGAACCCCGTATCCCATTGCCACCTCCCGGAGCTCCGCTAATACTCTGCTAGTGTGGGTGGCAGCCGCGCTTGCCAGGCGTGCCCGCTGGGTGAGGGCGCGGAGACCGTGCGTACAGAGCGCAGAGGGAGAATGAGCGCCGGGGAGTAGGGGGGAGCAGCAGGAACCTTCGGCTCGACCACAGACGACGGGAAAAGTTGCAACGAGAGGGTCCCCTGTGTTTGAGGCGGGACTCTGGTTCTGGGGACTTCAGGGCGCCCCCGTCGGAGGGCTGTGACTGATCCTGCCGTGGGCTGAAAGATCCTGAGAATGAGCGATGTATCCATTTGCCTATCCTCAAGGTGAGATGGAGACTTGTGCAACGGCGGAGCCGCGGCGGAAACCCGACGGTCAGGTAACCGGACGGGTGAGGTACGGTGAGCCCATGGTGCTCACACCGCAAATAGCACACACAAGTACTTGCGGGCTGCGCACTCTTGGGTGCTGCGTTTCCTCTTCTAGGATTCTTGCTGCCCCATGCGCGTCTCGACTGAACGGCGGACGTCCAGGCGCTGGGCAGTGACAATCCATCGGGTCCTAATTCCGCGGGTACCGCCCTAATTTGTGTCCGAGAGGACCGTGCAGCGTCTCGCTGCGCGGACAACGCGGGACTGGCCGCGGGAGGCTGGTCCCCGGCTTGGAAGCCCAGGTCACCCCTCGTCTTCACCCGCCACTTTGCTGACCGCTCTGCAGCTCATGGAGCAGGGTCGGGGGTGGTGGGATGTCGGGGGCCGTCACCTTGCTAGTTGGAGTTATTTGTAGATTTCTGGCTTGGGAAAAACAGACGCGCCACCGTTCTGACTTGGCATTGTCTTCGGATCCCAGCACCGCCTTGGGGGCGCCCCAGTCAGGCTTTTCCCAGAGCGGGGCGCTGATAAGGTACCCCGGCGAGGCAGGGGGCAGACAGGAGTCTCTCCGGTGACGCCCTGCCAGCCTTCTCCTCCCCTTCCGTCTCTGAATCCCGGCTCTTTTAGATAGAAATACAGCCTCGAAGTTAGGGGTTAAAAGTCTCTTCTTAAATGGTACAAGGGCAGAGAGGCGACCATCGGTAGGAAATTGGATCTCTGGCTGCGAAGAGCAGATCCAAGCGGTGAGGGCGTCTGTTTACGTTCCTCTTCGAGATGGTGCCAGGACACGAGTTGATTAAAATAATCTATTGTGTTAAGTGGGTCACCAGGGATTTAAACTGCCCTAGGGACCCCAGAGTAGTGGCTTTCTCTGACTGTACATGCAAGATAAATAAATAGCGGAGAAGAGTTTAAGATAACCCCCATCCCAGGGCATGGAGTCTTCTTTCACCCCAGGGCTTTTCAGCCCTACCTCTTTCTTTTTCTTTTTTTGGAAGAGGGGGCACTTGAAAGGGTGGGCTTTTCAAAGCAACGAGGGAAAGAAGTATTTTCAGAAAACCACAGATTCTCCTCTCCTCCCTGGTACACTCCAGCTTACAGCAGTAGGTGATCATCCAGTAACCATCACTGGATAAATTGCACACTCCAAATTGTTAGTATTAATTAATTTTTTAAGGGCTCTCTAGAACTTGGTTGCTGGGTGTAGTGCTGTAGTGTGTGTGTGTGTATTTAACCCCCAGGTCATTGTAGGAATTAAAGTGTTTTGTAAACTTTGTAATTTCACAGGTTTCCTATTTTCTTAAAAGTTCATTTTGAGTGAAATGTTTTGCTAACCCATGCACAATCTATGGGAAATTCAACTTGGCTAACCTAGGTTTAGATGAATGGCTACACAGGGGAGAGTAGAAACCTATTACATCCCTGCATCTCTGAATGAAAGCTGCCTGCCTTGTCTTTATACTGAAGTCCTTAAGGTTTAAGTATTAAAAGTAATATAATGCCAAGAAATTTTATGCCACAAACCCCTCTCCCAAGAAATGCTTGTCAGCAGCAAAGCAGTACAGAACAAAGTGAAGGACAGATGGAAAACCTAAATCTATGTAAAAGGAGTGGGAGATGTAGGGGAGGCGACTTAGCATCCAACTGAAAGGCACAGAACAGGCCAGTGTTATCAGCCTATGTCTTGCATCTGCAAGGAATTGTCTTTAGTTTTAACATACGCTTTTAGAAATGTGAAGGACAACAGTATTTCCTGGGATCAGAAAGGTTTTTTCCTTCACATATGAACAAAACAGAGAATTATTTGAGTTACAATATTCGTCACATTTGATTGCATTAGAAACAAGTCCATGTGTCCCTTATTAAATACTGTGCTGTGTGTCCACAGAATAATTCTTAAGGACATGTGTTTGGGGACTCAGAAGAATGGGACTCAAACCCCGACTTCCCCACCAGAGGATGTGTGACCTTGGACACACTCCTAACTTTTCAGAGTCTAGATTCCCTGGTTGGTAAAAGGAAGACGATATTATCTACCTCCTATTTTGTTGTGAAAAATCAATTATAAAGTTCTGTCAGAATTGAGTATACTGCCTCACATAGGGTTTAAAAATATAGGTAGCTCTTATTATGAGTGGCGGCATTTGGAGAGGCAGTAACATTTTAGGACTTCAAGGTATACCACAAGATGATTGTGAAATTAAATCCCAAGTCCTGCTCACACAGAGATCAACACACACCTTTTACTACAACGTAGAACCTATGATTTGGCTGTCTCTCAATTGTGCCGCTTAGTAAACATTTAACATTCATTACTTCCCAACTTGTTTCCTGTTGACCCCAAAAATTGTATACTATCATTAACTTCATAAAAAAAAAAAAAAATCTTCCAAGAGACTAGAGAGCCCCTGAGATGCCTCTCTGTGCCCTCTATGATGTTGGGCCCCAGCCTGACTTAGCCTGGGTGGTCTTCAACATAGAAAAGATGCAGTTAGTGCGCTTGTAGTACACACAGGTGAGATTTATCCTCTACTAGTTTGCCAACCATTTTGGTACAAATTGAAAACAGAAAATCAACCCAGTAGATTCTTAAGAACATCACTGCTCAATTTCTAAAATTTGACTATCTTTCTAAAAATTGAAGATCCAATTAAAAATGTTTGTCCTTAAAGATGTAGTCCTGAGAAAAAGAAATAGGGTCTTCTATAATCGGGCCTGCACTTAGAGCCTTTGCTGTCATTTCCATCTTTTTCTTTTTTTTAATGCTGGTGAATAATTTGCTGTCATGCCTGTTGAATAGCTTTCTAAAACATTGATCAGACATTCAGCCACAGACATCTGGCTTGCTGATCATTGTCTCCTCACTGTTAATCCCACTCAGCACTCCATTTAACTGATTACAAGCAGGTTGGTTAGCTAAAACGAGAAATATGGCGAGAAGCGTGCTGAAAGGAGCTGGCCTAAACTTTTCCAAAGACATTGAGGATATTAGAAACAGGTTACACATAGCACTTTTATTCCTCATTCCCAAGAATTAGATGATTGTATTCTTATGGCCTGGTGAAGGTTAGAATAAATTACCATGACCTGCACAGGACAAAGGTGGCTGATATGGGTTATCTTTGGGCAGATGTTTGCTTTTGATCACGCAGGGTAACCTGAAGGAAAGCATCAGGGACAGAAGACATACTTTGAGAGTATCTGTGTCCTCTGAGACAAGTGGATTAGAGGGGAGGACAGTGGTAAAGGGGGAAAAAAAGTTAGGAGTGAGTGGGTCTTGCTGGTGGGAAACAGTTGCAGAGAAAACTCATCATGAAAATACAATCACATGACTTGGTGAAGCAGAAATGCATTGAGGGAAGCTGAGGCAGCCTTTGGAAAGAAGAATATTATCTGCAAAGGAGAAATAAGGGAGATCTTTGTAGGTGTCTGATGCACTCTGGGTCCATGAGTTGCAGCTTTAATTTAATAATGTGAGTGGGTCATTTCAAAATGCAAGTTACCAGAAATGTTTTCAGCTCATGGCTGAACATGGGTGATAATCCATAAGACCTAAATCTGGGTTGGCCTTTGCTTCTATTTTTTATAATGGGGCACTCTGCTAGATGTCAAGGTGAAGAATTGATGTGCAAGAAGCTTATATTTTGCTTGGTTTCCCTCATGTCTAGATATTTACAGATTGCAAATTATTTAGTGACGATACAATTGGAATTTCAAGAACACATCAATCCTATTTCCTTCAATACATAATCAAGATCATTTGGTGTGGGGGGAGGTTGAATGATTGATCACGATGACTTAACAGAGCCCTGGTACTACCACTAAGTATAGTTTTCATCCCCCCTGCACCTCCCTGCCCCCGCCCGCCCCAGCCTTACTCATGTGGGATATGCAGAGTTTTCAGAGCATTGCTCTAAGAACTTGAGGTCTCTGTTGACTGAGATTCATAAAGTTGTTTTTTTCTTCTCTTCAAATAACTAGTTTTAAGAACTCAAAAGCTGAAGATATTTAAGAGTAAGCTTTAAATTTCTGTGTAGCCATTTCATAATATTTTTTCACACATGATAAATCTTATTTTGAGAAAAATTTACTTTTCTTAAAAACAATCTGTCACTCTAGACCCCTTTTTCTTATGGGGTTTGCACACTCCCATAGGAACAGGAAGTTGGTCCAAATTAAAACAGAAAACCACAGTTGACTAATTTTGAATTTACTGCTTTACTCTTGGTTTCTGCCCAAGTGAATCCGGTGGCTTCAATGGGAAAATAAACCCCACGGTGTTCTCCAGGGACCTGGTAAAAAGTAGTGGGTATTTGGAGTTTTCCTAGAAAAAGGAAGAAAAGTATTAACAAGCTCCCAAGGCTAGAAGGAGACAGAAATCAA